CATCTTGGAGCAGAAAGATACGTCTTCCTTATTGAACTTGCGTATAAGCTTCATACAGGCGTGAAACAACCTCAGTCCGGCAGCTAGAAATCCACCCCGGCAAAGCAACAGCTTGACGATCTGCACTGAAAAAAATATGTTGTTGGATTTACTTAATTCAATGGTGGACATTTGTTGCACACAGATGTTTTGCTTCGGCAGCAACTTAAACAATTGAGTTAAATTAACACAATTTATTCATGTTCAATAAACCTGTGCAATTTGTGTTGATAAAATGTGACTTAAACATGTTTTGATGAAGTAATTTGAGCTCTTGGAATATTTTAATCCTTCACAATTTTCTCACGTTATCCCAACACGATTCAATAACTTTTACCCAATACTACTTGGTCACTTAAATACTACATGTTATCTTCAAATTACATTTTGCTATTATATTCTAGTATCAAATACACAATTTTCAAATGGAGGCCTTATAACAGATTGTATTGTTCTCTTCCAAGATGGTTGCTGGCATCCACCAGTAACCTTTCAAAACAAAATGTCTAATTTCACTGCATTGACAGTAGGTAAAGAATTAAACTGACATTACTCCTCCACTGAATCTATATAAATCAACAGTTAAATAATGTCAGTTCTTCTGTGTTCTCTGGAATCAATCACAGTAAAGAAATTAGACGGTTTCTTTTGAAAAATGTTGGGAAAGAACAAATCAAAACATTCTATTTAAGGCCTCTGACCTCAAGATTCAGTTAAACAACAATTATAACTAAACAATTTGAGGTAATGTTAGTTTCCATTAACATTAAATTAGGTTACTGAATTGGCAAACACCTTCCTATTAACACTACCCATTTTACCCCAATAACTAAAGAAATTAGCACTTGCAGGTCAAAACCTTTATTCAAGAGACGCAAAAATAACATTGATACAGTGACTGTCAAAAATTACAGCACTGATCATACTGTGACATCTTGGTTCAAAACAGCACACTTAGAAATATTCAACGTTCTTTACTTCAACTGAATGAAACTGAAAATACCATTTCACACGACCCATATGGGATATTTAGACTGTATAACTGTTCACGCTACATCTCTTCACTAGTAAAAGAAAGAAAAAATACAAAGAGAAATTTAAAAATGCTGCCAAACAGACAAACAGAACTTGTACAGAGCAAAAGGAAAAACAAACAACAAAAAAAACGGCTTGTCCTCATGGCAGTTGCAGAGTATATAAAAATGAACCCTGCGATCCGTTCCTGGAATTGAGCTTCAAAAATGCAGCAGAACAAGTGTGAGATTTAAATGTCCTCTCACCTAGAGCTGGTCACCTCACATGCGTAACAGTGAGCTTCGTTGCAGGAGCAGTTTTGTCTTAGTTGTGAGCTTTTCTTGAGAGCTGAGTTGCATCCAACTCCATTACCACCCTTTGAATCACCTCAAAAGTGTAGCAGAGTTGTGATGGGTAACTCATGTTGAAGGAATAAAAAAGGTCCAAACAGCATGGCTACTGCAAAGGTCACGTTATCCAGATCTTGAAGAACAACATCAGAAAAGTCATTGCCTGGTGCATCCTCTGGAGACAGATGTTCATTGTGGTTTTCTCAATCTGTGCAGTGGCCTCAGTCAAGTCCTGGTTAAACACAAAACATTTCTTTAAGATTCCTTTTTAAACTCATCTCTTTTGAATCTACCAGTTCTAATGTTAGAGTAATTTAAACCAATGCAAGCAACATAGTAAATAGCTATAGCCAAAGAGTGGCCTGCCATGCTGCCATTCATGGTCTAACAGAGTTTCTAAGAGAGGGTGAAAAACATAATAATTTCAAATGCTTTACATTAGTTTTTGTTAGAAAGACACCGGCCCATCAGAAATCCAGGTTATGTCACTCAGAAGATGTTAGAATTTAGACTTTCAGCCCCACAATTTGGTTAGCTGTTGGTCAGTTGGTCTTTTTTTTTTTTTTTCAAACAAAAGCTAATGTAAATATTGGGGGATTTTTCTTTGTTCATTAGAATGACAAATTTAAAGTTTTTTCACACTGATGTGACCCCTAATACAGGGGTGGGGGTGGGGCCTCAAGGGCCGGCGGCCGAGTTCACTACCAGGCCTCATGTGAACTTCAAATTATTAAAGAGGACTACTGGTCCTAACCAGTCCAATGAGGATCAAGTGGATAACTAAATGCATTTTTAAATGTTGCAAATCCACAATCTACTCATAAAACACTCACCATGAACTCCTGCACCAAGATGTTGCAATTGTCTTTCACACAGATGCAGAGCACTTTGATGAGGGACTCCGAGCATTAATGTCATCCTAAAGTATTATAACAAAGAAAACAGAGATTTGTGAACTTTTCAGTAGCACAGAAGAAAATGATCCCAGACAAAAACTCTTGACTTTTTAAACCAGTCAACATGCAACACCAGCATCTACAAAGCAATATCAAAAGTTCCTGTTTGACATCAACTTTATGGATATATAGTTTCCAGAACATTTATTTTTTTAAAAAGATAAATTTTTCTCAGTGGGCCAGTAAATGCATGACAAAAATTATGGCATCCTTTTAGTGGAATCAGTACTCACAGGTAATAGTTGACGGTTTCAATGGATGTAGCATAAAAATCTTTTACTGACCTAATGCAATACATATACACTTTGTAGTTAAAGAATTTTAAAGTTCTTACTGTCATAATGGCAGCTACATCCATTAGCTTTGTGCCCTGTTCCCCCGATCACTTTGCAAACACTTTCAGCAGACTGCCAGAGAGAAACTCAGCTCCGTCAGAAACCTTGACTGTATGCATGGTTGGGATGCACTGGAATGCTGCATTTCATCTGAAATGACATAAAATTATTTTGAAATAACAGCAGGCACTGTGCTTGGTTAATCAGTAATGTTTTGTTGAATAAAAACTGTGTTTCCAGATCTTATGGGATTAAAAAAATCCAAAGATGTTTGTTTCTGATTTGCAACCCAACAACCCACAAGTTACAACCTCATTTCAGTTCAAGTGTGCATTAATGCGAGTCCAGTAATCACCTTTCTGGCAATACATACAGGTATAAGTTAAACCTATGGCAGATTTTGGATCTCTCAGTTGTATTAATAGGGTGAGTATGCATGCACCTAATAATTATAAAAAACCTATTATAATTAAGTTACAGAAACGAAAATAGAATATACTTTCTTACCATAACACCTTGAACCCACAATCCATCAGCTGACTCCTGGTGAAATGCAGAATAGAGGTCGTCTCTCAATGTGCAGCAAAAAAAACAAAAACAAAAAGAAAAGGACAGCAGGTGAGGGCAGGAGGGGTAGGGATGTAAGCTAGCATAATGCCGCTGATGATATTAGCTAAAGCTGTTCAATGTCCAAAATCTCACTAACACCACGGTGCAGTAAATACACAATGTAACTGAAGAGTCAGTTGGCAAATCTATTCACACAGAAAACCAAATTATGTTATGAGTGCCTCGTAATTAGGTTTAATGTGATATTACGGCTCTTGTGCCAAAGACAAATTCAAATGAAAAAGCGCCAATTCTTTGACAACAGATAAAACAGCAAATAAGCTAACGGCTCTTTTTTAGCATGTTACATGGCGGCACTTTAGACGTTTAACTACATTTGGCTGAAATATGGTAAAAATGAATTCAAAAAATCAAGACATACCAAAAACGTAGAGTTGGCTGCTCGACTTGACTGAGATGGATGCCTTTTTTAAACCACGATCCAAAGCCCGCGAGATGAAATCACGCGTGGTTTCACGAGATTTAACGTTGCTATCTTATTAACTTACTTCACCTGAACATGATATGAACAATTTAATACACCCTTTCTGCATATCATGTAGTTTTTACACTATATAGTTACATTTAACTTTAAAACATGAGGCAATTGTGTTAAATACATGCAAGATGCTTACATAAATCCAAGAGATGGCCAGTCCCTTTTTTTCAGTGTGTAGGGTCCCACCTTAATAAGTATTAGAAGAGGTGGCAGAGTCTACTGCAACTTTCAGTCATGCTGCTAATCTTCGAATAGAAGAAAAAAAGGAGGAAAAAAATGTAAAAGGCCTCACTCCACTCTGCCTGCACTTTTTTCTTCACCTCTCTTGTGCACAGCAATTTTTTTTTTTATTGTTGACCCCAGGTATTTAAACTGGCCTACCTCCACTACCTCTACTCCTTGTGGTTTATTTACTAAGAGGTTAAAAAAGCGATGACAGACTTGAGCAACACTGAGGAACAGCTTATGAGCGAAAAAATAAGACACGTTTCTAAGGACCACAGGATTTTCTTCTCTGTGGTAAAATAACAGAGAATTTAAATACCAATAGCTTCCACAATAGCAGATGGCAATAGCACTTAATGCAGCATTTGGATTTTTAGTTTTGAAGTTTTTCTAGCAACAGATTGCTCCAAGGTTTACATAGAAGTCACACCTGCTTGATTTGCTGTGGTGGCGGAAGTTTAATTATTTGCAGAAAAGTAATAACACTTCATTACAAGTCAGCACCCTGCATAAGCAATGAAGCTGCAATGCCATGCTGGATCTAAAGCAAAACTAAGCTGCATTATGGAGCCAGCTTTTTTAAATAGAGTGACTTAATATTGTTCAGGCTTTTACATATAAGCAGCATTTTTGATTATGGATTTGATAATACATTTTTTACTGTGTGTAAAATATTGTGGAACTGAGAGGGGGGGGAGCTTTACAAAGCAATTTTTTTTTAACTTAAATGCTTAAATATTTGAAGCAATTGTTTCACAGTCATATCGAGTCTTTGAAAATGTCTGACATTTATTTCTATGACTCAGGAGATAGAACAGTAGATCCCCTGGCTGCTCCAGTCTACATGCCAAATTACAATTTACAGGGCATGTGGCCGCTGAAGTCTCCTCCTGAACGACAGGTGTCACCCATCAAACAATACTACATCAGGGCTGATATAAGAAGAGAAGAAGTCAAAACCCAACGCAAAGAAATCAGGAAGGCACGGTCGTACATTCGTGTCTTCACGCAGTCGCCTCACTTTACTAACGTCGAGACCAGGGCAGAAACAGCAACTTGCGATATCGGATAAGATGTCAATTTGGCGTCAAATTTGTTTGGTGGTGCGGTCAGAATAGTCATTTGTTCCTTTAGGGTGTTTTTTCAACCTTTGGACGTTACGCCTTCGATCCCACCAATAATAACAGTAGAAGAGTATCGTCACTCATCTGTTAGTGTTAGACCCAAATCGTGAACAACAACTTGAAGGGCCATTACCAGTGTCCGCGGCAACAACTTTAGGAACACAGTCAGTGACACACAAGTCAGCACAAAATGGAGAGGAACCACCAAGTTATTGTTCAGGAACCCAGGGGTCTGAAGGTGAAGGTCAACCTATGCAGAACCGAGGAGCAGTTTAAGAACATGACAGTGCGACAGCTGAAGGAAAAAATATGGGAGAAATTTCCGGACTTTGGAGGTAAAAAACTCTGGCCGAAACACGAGTAACGCGCTTTTCCCGACCTGATGGCAGAAGACAACAGATAGCAATGTACCGTCTGAAATGTAGTTTTATTGATGCACATTAACACTGTTTAAAGGTTTTCTAAAAAAAGATACAAATTAAACTGTGTTGGGTCGAGACCAAGCTTTATTACATATGAAAACATTATAACGCTTCTTTACAAGTTAACATTCTATATTTACATTAAACAAGGAAGCAGCAATAACGTGTTACTGTCAAATTTAAAGCTAAATTAGGTGCCATTATGCAGCACAGTTTAATAGATCAACTGTTTGTCAATGAGAACAAAAATGTAACAGTACACAAAAAAAAGAAAAAAAGAAAAAAAGAAAAAGATACTAAACATCTGGCTAAACACACTACATTGCTCAAGTATGTGTACTTCATGATTACCATTAAGCTTTGTTTTTAGGTTAAGCTGTCATTAAATGTGTTTTCTACCATCAGTGATTTTAGAAAGCCTCCAATTACCAAACTTACACTCTGTACGTAGTTTATAGCTGCAAACTAAAACACTGAACATACTATTAATTATTAAAAGTAACCCCGTGTGTGTGTGTGTGTGTGTGTGTGTGTGTGTGTGTGTGTGTGTGTGTGCAGGAGAGAAGCATCTGTGGCTGATTTTCGTAGATAAGATGCTGAATGACGATGATGCCCTTCTGTCTGACTATGGAATCCAGCACATGTCTGTCATCCACATGTTAATGAAGCTTCCTGGAGGAGGTGGACCTATTGATGAAAACAGTGGGATGGGGGACAAGACTGGCAAAAATCGAAGTATGGAATCTCTGAAGTTATCATTTTAATAACACAACTAGATGCTGCGCAGGTCCAACTGTAATAAACTTTTATTCAACTTCCAAATCACAAACTTCTGTTTTACTTTTTTACAATTATTTATGTGCCTGTTCTTGAAGTGGCAGGTAAAGTTTGCTCATCATATATAGGAAGATCTCTGTTGAAAGAAGGCTTTCTATGATGTTGAGGGTATGGATGTTTTGAAAATCCAATTTTTGTGATTTTGTTTGTTGTTTGCTTTTTGCTTCTTTGCCACAAAAACTAGTTAAACTTCCTCTCTTGAAGCTTAAAACAAGTTCACCACATGTGCACCATTTTAATTTATAGCAAGAATAAATTGTGTATTCCTCTATATTTTGTATAACGTGTGTCTTACATTTTTGCAAACAACTGCAATAGAAACACACCTGATTGTACAGGTGACGTGTGAATTCTTGCAAATGTGATAGAGATAGAAAGTGAAACTTGGTGTCAGTGGACCTGAAAAAGTCACTCAACACATATTAATGGTTGAACTTGTCAGATATTTTCAGCCTGACTCACAGGATCAGAGACAATTGTGCTGTTAGGGTTTGTTTGGTGTGTATTTGTTTCCAGGAACAACAAGTTCTTTCAAAGCATTTATAACATGTTCTTTGTTTGCTCAGGCTGATGTGAAGTGAAATTATTTGAAAAGCTAAACTGTCAAAGGCAAAAGTAAAAAAAAAAATCTTACAAAATGTAATGTATCTGTTCTATGAACCTATAAAGTCTGTCTCTTCTCCATACACCTAGTTTAAAGTTGTCTGTTGTTTGTACAAAGAACATTGGTTCATCTCAGTTTAGTGCCTTCTTCATGCTTCAATGATTCAACGATGCCAGACCCCAGTCTCTCTACGCATGTATTAGACTGAAAATGAAAAAGCAGCTGAAAAATAATAAATAAATAAAAAAAACATGACTTTTTAAAGCTTTAATATAGTGAGTGGTGAGTAATGCCTTCACTATCCCCAGAGATTTTGGATTTCAAAAAGACCTTTCATCCATAGGTTATTCCGCTTCGAAATGACAGGGTTCTGTCGCTTTTCAAAACTGCGTTGATGATCTTTGTACCAACGACAGAGCATAACTTGGAAAAATAAGAAGAATTTAGGTGAAACTGAAAGCATCCTCAGCCCTCTGGCATCAGACTCTGATGTCTGCTGAGCGCAGACAACTTGTGTCAGTGTCGTTACCATTATTATTGACAGACTCTAAAGGAGCACAGAAATTCTCATCCCAAAAAGCTAAAAATGGGGACGGTCTACTGGGTCAAGGTTCAAGGACTAAGGGGTGAAACGAAGTGGATCGATGTGTGCAACACTGATGAGGAGTTTAACAGCATGACCATGAAACATCTGAAGGAAAAAAAATAAGGCACTGTTTTTCATATATGTTGGATATCTCAGGTAAAAGCTCTGAAAGACAGAGTGAAAGCTTGCTGTAATGTGACATTTTACCCTTGAGCTGTGGTGTTATATGTCTGTGCATTTCTAGACAATTATACAGATGCATTTCATTGTGTTGTATTTAAGGAAAATTCTGAAGCAGTAAAATTAGCTAACAAGCACAGACGTATATGCTTCTTTGTGGTTCACTTCTCACTAGTATATATTGCCATGAAAACTTATGCTGGCTAGGTTCCAGATTACACTCCTTAGGATCCCTGAGAACTCTGTGTGCAGACAATAGAAAGATGAATTTTTAGATTCACTCTTATTATATAACAACTTTATTGTTTAACAAGAATTAATGCACGGTTCTCAAACAGAGCATATATTTATAGCCTTCTTTCTGACCTTATGTAAAATTTTCATGCCGGCTAATCCTAAGTATGAATTCACTTTTTTTTTTTAAATATTTATTCTTTATTTGCTCGGAAACTGTTAAACCCCATGAGACTTCAGCTGATGGAATAAAAACATATAACTTTCTTCGAAATGTCAATTCAAATACCTCAATTATAATCCGTCACTTTCCCCCGTGTCTTGACGCTAGAATTGTCATATTGATAAGTTTGTTCACTTCCACAGTTGGTATTTTTTTTGTTGATTTCTTTCCTGGCTTCAGATATACTAAACATTATTATAGCAGCTCTCGCAGTCCTATTGACCAAAGTCCTTAAAGTTTGTAAAATTCAATCCAAGTTTCAAGTTTTATTGTCATGTACAGATAAACAGTGTAGCCACATTTATCCATAATGAAATTCTTTGGCTTGTGCTCCTCACACATTAGAAAGTGTGCAGTTATATTAAGAAGAAAATAACAAGAAAATAGCAGTAATAAAAAATAATAATAAAAACAAGTAATTAATATTTTGAGAATTTAAGACAAGTTGGTATTTACAGTTTGTGCAAAATAAAAATAAAAAAAGGTCTTCCGCCAGAGGACTGTACGAGGCAGGATTTTCGTCTTATCCATGTAACTTCCAGGTTTATCCTGGGCTTAGGTGGTTCACTTGTTACCGGGGAACAATTGGCCCCTCAACAATAAATTGTAACTATTAATCCCAATTTTGCTAAATAAAAGGATCTGGGTTGCATCAGTCACATGATTACCATTAACCAATGCACAACTTTACAGTAATTTAGCATCAAGTCGGTGCATCACGTGATCTCCTTGGAGATTGATTTATTTTTTTCATAATTTTAATTGATAAATGATGCTTGAGTCTTTTCAGTTGTTCTGCAGAAATGTTCAGCCTTGCTTGACAGTCGGTGTGTATTCTTCACTTTTATCTTCTGTGTCTGTTTCAGATCAACAGCAGATTATTTTTGAAGGAAATGAGCTGTTTGACAGTGGCACTCTCACGCATCCTATCGTTAGTTTTAAATCTTAGAGGGGGGTAACCTGAACAAGATGTTGAAGGAAGAAGCAAGGGTCCCAAAAACCGAAGTATGGAAAGCCTAGCTGACATGTAAATCCTTTCACAAACATTACAGAATAACATGTCAGTGGTCCAGGTGCCCAGTGACTCCTGAGCAAACTGGGAAGTCCCCCCAGTCATATCAGAGAGATTATCTACAAGTTCCACTGAAGCTTGCTCAGCTGTGGTGAAAGGAAAGCTTTCTAAGGCAGAGAACTGAGAGAATGTTTTCTACTCACCCCACAGAACTAAAGATGATGATGAAGTCCCGTTTCCACAGATTTTGTCTGTATGATTTATTTTGATTAGTAGTTTGTATAAATCAGCTGTTGCTCTGCCACATAATGAAGAGCCAGTGAAACATTTGGTATCAGTAGCACTCAAACTCTTTAAATATCAAATGAACACTACTTCAGTTCATGACATCATGATCATTTAGTAAAAGATTCAACTCAGCAAAAAGAAAAATGTCCTTGAGTTACTGACAGTTACAAAAAAGTGCGTCCTGCTCGTTTTATTTATATATATCAGACATTTTTCTGTTTTGCTTCTACTCTGCTGTGAATCTCTCAAAGAAATCTAAAACAAAATATCGAGCATGAGAACCATAATATGTAATGAATGTTGGCTCTTTTCTCTGTGCCACACAGGGTTGGCTGGTTTTCTGGGAGTCACAAAATCACTCACGCGACAGTATACTGCCCTCCCTCATGTCAACCCCCTGAACACAAGTGACGGCAGTATACTTGTAGTTTAGGACTTGGAAAGTTCAAGGTTGTGATTGACGCAGTGGCAAGAGCAAATAAGTAAATCCAAACTGACAGAGAATTTTTTTTGGCACTGCCTAAAAACACAAGGAAACGTAAAAACGAACTGACCCCCTCAGTGACATTGTTGTGTATTTTCCTCACTACGCAATGGATGCAAAACAAACTTAAAAAAAAAGAAAAAAGGATACAAACAAGTTCCAAAAACTTTTGCCAGTTTTTCTGGCAGAAAAACAGCTGCAAGAGAGACGGACCAGGGAAGTGAAAAAAGAGGTGAGGAAAGGAAGGTGATAAATTTGTCCAAAGGAGAAAAACCATCATGGGAAGAAGGTGTTAAGTGTAAAGACACAACAAGATTATATGATGGTGAACAAAACACAGCAGCAAAGTCAGGCAGTCTGGTGTTCTTTGTTCTAGGCTGGCTTGTTTAAGATCGGTTAGTTTCTTCTGAGAAAAAGTGATGTCATGAATATTTCTGTGCACAAGATTGGACAACAGAATTTACAAATTCAGAATCTCTATAATGGACGATTTTGTTTCCTCTATGAAATACAAGTGCTAACTCGTATAAATAATATCCTGTGATCCAGATTTTTACTCATCAATCACTAATATAATACAAAGCTCTCCTTTGATTTCTTTCTAATCAATCATTTTGTTTAATGCTTATAATTTAGGAGCTACTGATCCACTATGTGCATGTTGATACAAAACAGAAGAAATGCAGCACTTTTTATAAGTTCTTTATTTTTCACATTACGCTTAAACTACAGGCTAACATTTTGTCTCACAAGAAGACCTGATGCATGATGCTAAGATTTCATTTGTAATAAACTGAGTGCTGATAAAAATGTATTCATATTTCATATTCACAGAAATGTTTGAGTAAAAGATGTATAATGATCTCTCTGCACAGTTAGTGACTTACAGAAGAGAACAGTCTCTTGTTGGGCAATTTAAAGTTCAGCCAGTAGGAGGCAGAGAAACAAAGGCTGACAAAATAGAGGTGTGTCTTTTGGAGCTGAGATACGCAACATCGTTTTTTTTTTATATCAACAATTGTTAAAACGTTAAAGGAAAATATAAACATTCTCTTAAATTGTTCATTTGTCTTGTTTTCATGTTTTGCTCCACACAGGGATGGAGGTCTGCCTTGGCGCGACCCCACTGGGGCAGATTTCATATGGTGAACTAGTCTGTGAACATTCACGCTTCAGTTTCAGGCAGACAAAACAGAACTCCATTTTGCAGCGAGGACATTTGATATTTTTGCAGTATTCTGTGGTATGCTCCACCCTCAGGCCACATGTAGGACAGAGTCTGATGGCGGGGCAGCTGGTGACCCCCTCCACCTCAGGCAGATCAATGGTTTTACACGTCTGCATGAGTTGCAGGTCCTTGTTCTCACAGCCGTCGTTGTCACAGCGGTCAGATCGAAGGCCTGAACCCTTCCACGGTTTCAGACACTGCCAGCAAAACTGGTATTTCTTCTTCTGATCAGCTGTGCATACGACACACTGGACACACAGGTTGGACAGATCCTTCCTCTCTACATCTGTTTTACACTGAGGACACTGATGTGGGAAACAGTGTTTTAAAGAAAAGAAAGAGACCTCCACTTTAAACATTTTTATCAAAGTGAAATAAGCTGAAAGGTCACAATAATAACCATAAATCACTTACTGGCTGAACCTCACAGTGGTCTGCAAGAGCCAGACGGGCCATGCTCTCTTCAAAGTGCTGCATTTCCTCCACAGTCAGATCAGCCAGTCTGCGCACCTCCTGGTACGACCACTCTTTATTACACTGCTTGGTGCCGTCCACTAAAGCCGGACATCTGAATTTGTAATTCCCCTGAAAACAACAACAAAAAAGACTCTCTGTATAATTAGAGAAATAACTAAGAACTGAAGTCCAAATCTTCAAGGCTCTTACTTTAATTATAATAATTATACCGGTAATAGTACTTTGTTACATTTATATCTAATAAACTACTGACTATTTTCACAATCAAATCTGACAAACACACAATGATAACCTTTTATAAAAGTAACTTATTCCTTGAAATTCCTTATACCAGTAGTACCCAACTATTTAGCTTAAACAATTTATAAAAAA